GATATGCGCCCTCAAGTCGCCAAATTTCTCGCCAAGTATTTTTGGCGAGAAACTTCACGCTGCAAGTACTATCTAATTTTTTGTCTACATTTTGACTTTTAGCTAAAATGTCTCCAAAAACGGGTTTTCGCACATGCAAGAACTACGTTTGAAACACGCATTAGCTAAAATCCGAAACAACAAAAAATTTAGATAGCAAACGTAAAGTTTCTAACCAAAATATTTGAAAGATCCTGTAACGCGACTATTTTAACTAAAAAAACATCTAAGAATGCACACGTGGCAACGAACGAATCTACAAAACTACGAGACCCGCTTAATAAATTAACATAACAAAATAAATTTCAAAGATACCATGTCCCGCATCCTGTTTAACTTAAAAAAAATCTACATTGTACAATTTAGCAGGAAGAATCCACGATTTACGCACTCCTTGCTTTAATCAAATAACATAACAAAAATAATTCAATATACCAGGTACACGCGTTCTGTTCAACTTTAACTCTACGAATTGTGACAGTCAACACTAAACACAAATAAACTAAAATAAAATTCAAACAATTTAAAATAACACAATAACGACAGAAATTCCTATAAGAACAATAACATAAACCATCTAAAAATAACAAGATAAATAAAATGCACTACCATGATAATGCGTTTTCGAATAGCAGAAATATAAGTTCAACAGCCTTACATGCGCCACGTAATACTATCGAAATTCATACTATGGTTCACAAATAAATAAAATCACAAGTAAACATAAATCCCTACTTCTAAAAAATAATCTCCCAGAGCCTCTTTCCACTCCTCCAAACACCCACTCACTGCCCCTCAACAGGATGGCCACAATAACATTTCCTTTTGCCGAACTTCAATTCAACAACTTATCTTTCTCGTCCTATCTTCTCAGACACAGACGAAAAACCAATGAGCATGACGCAAACCAACGAGCTCCAGCGAAAGATTTTCCAGCGTCAACAGGGTTGCCATACAACATGCAATCGTGCCAAAAAACCAGCGCAGAACACATATCGCCACATTTGGTGAAATTAGGGCGTATATTAGAGTTGTACCTGAATTTGTTTTAATGGTAATGTCTGTCATGCTGTCCTAATATATTATAAGTGTTCTCATCCAGTACATTTCTTCATCTCGTTTTACTTTTTTTTTTTGTGAGTAAGTAGAGTTGAATTATATAGTAAATAATTATATACTTTCCAAGCTGCCATGTTAGAATTTAAGTTTACTTGTTGCTTATTTTTATTGCTGATTTACTTCTATAGTTTTGGTGGATCTCTTTTTTATTCTGTTGTGTTTAGTACTAACAACACATTTACTTTTTCTCATTAACTTTTTCCTGTATGTAAAATCCTTAAATTCAGTCTATTAATCTCTTGTCGATCTCTGGCTTCAGTAATTCAGCTAACTTTTGTTTCGTTTTAAAGATTAATTTTAAGCACATAATTTTGTAGAAGTAAAGTTATATAAAGAAGCAAAACTGAGTTTATTTACTCTTTTTTCGTTCTTAGAAGTACATGCTGATTAAAGCGGTAATTAATTATTTTGTTATTAACATATATTAAATAAACTAAATGCTCTTTTTAAGGTATTAATTTAAGAAATTAGTATATATTACTAATAAGTAAAACATTCTAAATGCTTTCACCAGTTTCTGCGAATTATTATCATTTTCTGCCAGTGACAAAGCAAAATCTATTTTCTGCCAGCAAATGTCCTCTCTAGTCCCTCTGAAAACTTTTCTTGTAAAATTCTACTTCCTCTCTTCCAAATCACAGTTTTTAGAGTTTTAGAAAAGAAAAGTATAATTTTAAGGGCTACCTGATTCGACAGAGTTGAAAAACTTCTGATATAAATCTAAACTTGTGACAATATCAGAATTAGGTGAAGAGAATTCCAGTATATTTAAATAGGCAAAACATTTCTCTGTGTGATCTATTGTAAATTGTCAATTATGAAAAAATTTGTAAATTATGAAAAAAAAAAGTGTTCCAAAGGTAGTGAAGCATGTAGAACTCTTAAGAACCTGCTTATCAAATGTCAGGGTAAATGAACTTTTTAAATTAGGGGGCTTTCTGTTTCTAGCATATAATGATAAGAAAAGCAATTATAAGTGTTCAAATTACACATTAATCAGCAACTAGTTGCAATTTTTTTATTAAGACAAACATTTAGATTTTTAATTTTTTGTGTAGTGTTCAAATATTTAAGCATGATTTGCTGTTAATATTTGTAAAATGTGAGAGGGAAAAATCTCATTTTATATGTATGTTTTTATTTAGCCAGTTGCTGCATGTGCTATGCCAGTTATGAATGGTTGGAGGGTAAAAACTAATTCTGAAATGACTAAGAAAGCAAGGTAACTGAAATAATTTTAATATTATTAAATTACAATAGATGAATTTTTACTTTTGATACAAAAACGATCATATTATATATTGTAGGTGTTATATTTTTATTATTTTGCTTTTATGTATTTTTAATGAATTATTCATCTTTTAACTCATAAAATTTAATTTTTATAGCATCTTCTTATATATTTTATATCATACAATTAAGATAACCTTTTATGTGCTTTCAATATTACTCTTTATTATTAAAAAATGAAGCAGATTCTTGTCATTTGCTAATAAACAAATTGTAAAAATAATATTTTCCTCCTCTTTCATAAAATTGCTTCTAGTAAATTTTGTAAATACATTTAGTGCTCCTTTGATTACTTTTGACTGTTTTCTTTTATATTTCTCAAAAAATGTGATAATAATATGAGTTCCAGAAAAACCTTTATGAACCTTCATCCTTGGTTCTGCTAGTGTTTTGGTCTCTTTAAAGAGAACATGTTTTCAGTTATAGAGGTGATTTCTGTACTGATTTGTTATTTATGTCAGAGAAATATTTGTCAGTTTTAAAGAGAGAGAGAGAGAGTTTTTGATTATGCATATAAATATGTTTTATATGGGTAAAACATGAATGAAATTATATTGTTTTATTATATTTATATAAAGAATGTAGCTAAAAAAAAAAAAAAAAAAAAAAAAAAAAAAAAAAAAAAAAAAAAAAAAAAAAAAAAAAAAAAAAATCCATGCTAAAATAAAGAATAAAAAAAAAGACTTAGAAGAAACCACACAGTCAAAATAATGTCAAGGAAAGTTATCCATGCAGAAACACGTCTCCTCATAAAGAAGCCCTTGAGTATGTGTGTGTGCACTTAAAATAATTTTCTCATTATTTTCAGTTTATTTAAAGCAAATCCTTTTTTAAAATTCTTGTTACATTTAATTTGTTTCAAAATAGAAACTTATATTTTTAAAATTATCTCTTTTTATTTCAGTTTATATAACTTTATGCTCATATGCACATATAAAGGGTGTTTATAAATGAATGGTGCAGTGTTAAAAATTAATAATAAGAGCTTATAATGTGAGACTATAGTGTATTGTTTATCATTTTAAAATAACAAGCATGAGATGTTTGTTCATTTCATTTAAAAAGATAAAAATATATCACTATTTTAGAAAAAAAAAAAAAAAAGTGTTCAGAAAGAAAGAACGTTTAGTATATGGAAGTATTCGATTGATTTACTGCAAGCAAATCATTTATAACACATTTTATCAGGGAAATCAAGAAAGGAAATATTCATATTATATTAATTATGAATTTAAAATACATTTCCTAGAAATCAATCAAAATAAAAATTTCAATTTCTTGAAAAATCTTGTTTGTCTTGGGGACCATTTGGCGTCCATCTGTGAGCGGTGCCAAAGGCATGACAGACCCCCTCGCTAGGCTACTGAATACTGCTCTACTTATGGGAATATTGTTTGTTCTTGCAACCAAAACTAATTGAATGCTATTGTATTTATTTCATATGTTTCATTTATTCTAAATGTTCATTTGAATTAGTAATGCATAATATTTTTATTTCTTCTCTATCCTTTAGCACATGACTTATTTGCTTTTTACTTATTTCAGATTTCAGAAAAACTTAGTTTAACTTTTTGTTTTAATGTTAATTTTTTTCTCGTTGAAGCCATGCTAAGCATGTAAAAATAACTCTCAAGTGCAAAAAAGCATGTAAAGCATGTAAAAATAACTCACAAGTGCAAAACTACACTTCTTTTTCTCCCCAGTCCTAGCAAGAACTTACAATGATGAAAGTTTTCAGTCTACCCACATTGTGAGATTCTTTATCTTGGCAGGTGTAGCAGTCATCTCACCACTTTCCCATTGGCTTCTGTCTTGGATTGTTTTATAACTTGTTAACACTGTTAACTTGTTAACTGTCTTTCCTCTCACGGGTAGAAGTAGATTCAGCACAGGAGGGTTCGGACTTGTGATCCAACTTCCATTGAAACTGACTGATTATTATGAAATGTTGTATGTTCTGAATAATTGTTGATGATAAGGAAAACTAAACAAAATATAGGACGTAATGGCACACATAAAATTTCACAGGTGGTAATAAGCTGATGATAATACGTTATTGTTAAAAGTTCTTTTCCCTACGGAGAATAACTAATATTAATAGCAAGAATAACTGGATTTTGAATTCTGTGACTGTGAAATGTCTTTTTTATTGCATCACAACATACTTTTTCCCAACAGAAAAGCCTAACTGAAAAACTGTTCCCCTTAATCTCACTGAAAAGCAGTTTTCAAAACAAAGGGTCTAAATTTTCATTTTATTGTTCCTTTGCCACAAGACGTTCACAAACCACAAACATACCTTTGAAACCTCAAAAGATTACTAACAAAGAGTATTTTAATTTTTATTTATTTCTTTACCTGTATTTTATTTTATTTTATTGTTTTATTTATTTATTTTTAGTACCCCTTAATATGAGATTAACATTAAGGTCTCTATTCAAAGGGGACAATAGAATTGTCCCTTATAGGAGATGCTATTGTATATTTAACATCTTATTTTTACTGTTAAATCTATTATATAATTTTTTTTATTGTTGTTCTGAAATTTTAAGATTGTTTTAACTCTGAATTAGAGGGTTGTGGAGTTCTTGTGATAATATCCTTAGATTGTCCCATTGTGATAAGGGTGAATGTGATTTACAAGTATGTATCTCCTTTATTTCCTTCCATCTACTCTTATAAGTTTTCTTAAATCATGTACAAATGCTCAGTTTATAAGTTTAAATGCATTTTCTTTCATTTAACTTATAAACTGAAGTATTTGAAAGTATTTGTATTTGTAACTGAAGTAAGTATTTATTAACTGAAGTATCTGAAAATTTATCATAAACAAATCTTAAGAGTTTTTGAAATTAAAGTTGCAAAATTGTTGCAAAATATTTCATAAAATTATTTTATATTTAAGCACTCATGCAGAGGAAGAGAGTGTACAAATCTGTGATTACTAAAGTTATTTATTTGTGTATTGGTACTTATTTTGTTTATTAAATGTATAAAATTATTATATTCAGGTTTCTAGTACTGATAATTACCTAGCGATTGCAAAATAGCTATTGGTTGTGAAGCTTTTATTCCAGTAGAAATTGCAGCTCTTATAAGGATTAAAATAATGCGTATCAAACATTTACTACGACCAGATTATAACAACAAATTCGGTTTTGAAAAATTACATTTCTAACAAAATAAGAAATATAGCTATTTAGAAATATATTATCTGATTAAGGTTTTTTTTTTTTTTTGAAAAAAGTTTTGACATAAAGGCTGTTTTGAATTAGGTCTTATTTTTTTTAATCTTTAATTAAAATATTAAAAAATTTTACTTCCTACTAAAAAAATACAAATAACTTTTTATGTACAATAATAAGCTATGAGAAAAATACCTTTCAAGACAAAAAGCAAGCTCAGCTGTTCTTGAAAGGTTGCATAATTGTTATGCTAAAGAATGTATTTGTGCCACATTGCTGTAAAAGATTGTTGCTGATTTTATGCCAGATGCTGGGCAAAATTGTCATCAAAAATGAAATATTACTTTTATGTCGTTATTTCTGTAGTTTTTGGTTCAGATTTTACACTAATATGATGAATAGCTACTAAATTTACTTAAAAATATTTAAAGCAAACAAACAGTGTTGTGATAGTATAGATAGTACTTAAAAGAACTTAATAGTCTAATTCAAATATTATACAGCTATAACAAATATGATACTTAAAAGTGTTTTTAAAGGTTGCTGTAAGGTTTTATTTGTGTAGAAGCTTAAAGTAATGTCTTTCAGATCCTACTAGACTGACTAGCGAGTTATTGCTCTAGTCTGAATTAAGATGACAATGTCCGATAAAAATTAGAAAAAAAAAATTATTACCTATTTAAATTTAACTGAAGCCACCGCTTGTGCTTCAAAACAAAACTCCACAGCTTCTGGGTATTTAAAGTAACATAAGTGAAATTCATATTTAAGTAATGTAGTCAGAGTCTTCACATGCTCATTTATGCTCAGTCATGCTCTACTTAAGCTGGCTGAAATATTTTGACATCGGCTAGAATAAATGGCTGAAGCCAAAATAATCTCTGGCAAAGCTTGCGATAGGACCTAACTTGTAAGTGAAGCTGCGAAAAGCTCATAACTAGTAAACATTCAAAACCCTCGACTTATGAATGCTCAGGCAACTAATTTGCATTTTGTTAAAAAATATGGAAAGTTATACTAAAGACTCAAATCACTAATTTCTTAATTAATGTAAACATTACAATACCAGTACAATTTGTTACACTTTTTAAGAATATACTACTTTGATTGATGAAACCAAAAGTAAGTTTTTAATTCCCATCATTGTTAAAAATCAAATTAAGACATTAATGAAGTTATCTATGAAATTAGTTTTCTGCAGTTAACTGGAGAGAACAGTTTTACCATAGTTTAAGCCACCTGTCAAATAATTAATAAGTCCTTTTGGTTATGCAGAAACCAGTGAATTTTGAGTTGATTATAATGTTAATTATTTTACCAAGTTAATAATTTGCATATTTGGGAAAATAATTTTTTCTTTTGACGTTTAACCCTTTGTTGCATACAAATAATCTAGAGAAGTTAAACGAAAATGTTTGTTTTTTCTCTTAAAAAACCTTAGTATAATAAAAAAAAATAATTTATTCATTTCATTTTAAATATTGCTACTGTTGTTCATACAGTGGACAGCAGATTATGTCATGCATACAAATCTCTTCCAACGTTTTACGGTCATGCATTGAAATCATATCCTGCCTGTTTCAGTGATCATTAACTCTTCTAAATGTTAAATCTACAACTACCGTATATGCAACCCCCAAAATGCTTCATTTCGTCGATTTGATTGAATTCTTTGCTACGCTTGTAACTGTACCTATAGAATTCAAATGTCAATGTTCTAGAATTCCTTGCCATGTAAACATTTCAGTGTGTTTTGGCTTGATAGCGTACATTGGGTTTCAGTTCCCTCTTTTCGGTAGATCTTTATTTACAACTCCACAATTTTTCAAGGTAGTATTTTAGATTTACTGACATAAAATAAAATGTCTAAAATTACTAATATGAATAAAAAATGGCAGTATAAGAAAATAAAAATATTATATAATGTTTACTATGAAAAGTATAACTGGAAACAGAATAGCAACCTTTTCCAATAGCAATGCTTAGTGCTGCTTACAGCCATCTATGATCGACAGTTGAAAGTTCTAATATATAGAGATAAACAAGGAATGGAATCTGTTAATGCATTTACAGAAGAATAAACAAATTTAAACTTTTGTCTACTAGAGCGGACATGATGCAGCAAAGAGTTAAATAGAGTGAGAGAATAATAACTAAATAATTTTTAAGCATTTTCTTTTCTTGTATGTTTTAAGTATTTTCTTTCTTGTTTTTCAATTTTAGGATGAATCAATGGCTTTTGGGAGTGATCGAAGCAGATTTCAAGATATATATTTTACAGGAAAGCGGTACTAAAGATTTGTAAAGAAATCATTTTTTATAATGTATTTTGGTATTTTCTTAAAGCATTTTCATTGCTTATATAAAATTTTTGTTTTTATAGAGCTGTTGAAGACAAAAATATTGGACCTTTAGTAAAAACTATTATGACCAGATGTATTCATTGTACTCGTTGTATACGCTTTGCAAGTGAAGTAGCAGGTGTAGATGATTTAGGTACAACAGGGAGAGGTAGTGACATGCAAGTTGGAACGTATGTAGAGAAAGTGCTGGCTTCAGAACTCTCAGGGAATATTATTGATTTATGTCCTGTAGGTGCTTTAACTTCTAAACCATATTCATTTACTGCAAGGCCCTGGGAAACAAGGTAGGATTTACTTTTTGTGGTAAAGCTTCTTATTTTGTGTTTTTAACAATTCATATAGTTAAACTCTTAATATGTATAATTTAAGATTCACAACATGAACATCATTAAAACTGATAAGATTAAACTTTTAAGTCTGTGTCTTTAAATTTAACCAGCTTTATATTTTTAACCAAAATTTTAGGTATTAATAATTTGTATAGGTATTATGGTTTAATTTAGTTTTTATTTTCATTTTGTAATTGATTTCTTTCTTCCTATTTTTTCTTTTCTCTCTTTTTTTTCTTTTTCTTCTTCTTTTTTCTTTCTTTAAAGAGAATATAAATTCTAAAATTGGTATAAAATTTAATTTCTGGATAATTCTTGAACCAATATGGATTGACACATTTATTTATAGTTTAAATACTTGTAGCATTTTACCATGCTGTGAATTTAAAACTAGGTACTAATAATTTTTCTAATAATTTATATGATAATCCTCCCTTTTTTTAAATAGGAAAACAGAATCCATTGATGTGCTTGATGCTTTAGGTTCTAACATTATTGTTAGTACTCGTACAGGAGAAGTTCTTCGCATTCTACCTCGCTTAAATGAAGTAATTTATTATATATTTACTTACTTTAATTTATTGCATCTTTACTTTTAGCTAATGCTGCCAAAATTTTACATTTCAGTAGTTTATAGACACATTTTGGTTGTAACTTAGGCTTTTATTTTCATATTAGTATGTTTTCTGTTGTGGAAAATATGAATAACTCACCTGTAAAATGCTTGTTTTTGAAGTCATCTTGGTTTTTGTATGTTTGCTTCTATGTGCATGGCAAAATTTAAATATTTCTTAATGAGGAAAAGTGTATTATGCAACCTTAGTATTTATAGTTGTACATAAATAAAGATATACATATAAAAGATATGCTGTATAAAATAAAGATAAATTTAAAATAGTTTTCTCCTAAAACCAAAGCTTCATCAGCTATTCAGTTATATCTGTTTAATTTTTTTCTTCATTATTATCATAATCAGAATCTTCTAGCAGTGATTCAAGACATATCAGTAATTATTTTGTTAATCATTTAATAATAATCTGCAAGGTCCATCAAAATTTGCCATATAATCCACAGTGTTATCTTCTTAAAGCACAGATTCATTTTTTATCTTCTTTGTTTTCTTCTTTTCTTCTTCTTTTTTTTTTTTTTTTTTTTTTTTTTTTTATGAAGTGGTAGTTGCTTAGTATCCTTTATTGGATCATAAATAATAATAAAAAAAAAGCTGTCACTATTATTGTTTCAGTAAAAGTTTAATATGGTCATAAGTTATGCCATGTACTCTGTATGAAAACATCAGGAAATAAAAGTTTTTAATTGGAAACTTGTAATGGTTGCTGTAGTTACTGGGAAGAATGTATGACCGTATTGGAGTAATAGTAGCATAGTTATTAAAATGTTCTTTATCATATATGAATTTAAGTCACAATTTCTTTTTCTTTTTTAACTTTTTATTTTCATTTAATTTTAATTAGAATATAGTTTAAATTATTTTTATTATTCGTCTTATTTTCACTGCAGCTTATTCATTCATTCCGTATACCACATATTGCCATACTCTTATGTTTTGAAAAACTTATCAGAATATATTTATATTGTTTAAAATTAGTAGTATCTGAGAGAAAAAAGACAGTTTAAAAATTTTGAAAGCCTGCATTGAAATGATGCTGCCTGTTTTCTAAATGCTGTTTAGCACAAACATTTTGTGTACTGATTATATACTAAATATGATGTTTATATATGCATTGAATGCATAAACACTGATGAGAAATACCTTTGTAATGATGAATGATTTTCATCTAATGATGATTATTTCATTCTAATTTTAATAAATTAATGAAAGAAATTTAATAATTTTTTGTTGCATTTAATCCTTCAAATGACAACAACAACATTTAAAGCTAAAGTCAGATGTCATTTAAGCTATAGCCTTATATCATTGATTTAGTGTTATGATATTTATCATAACACTTTTTTGGGGGTATTGTAATTTTTTTCCCCTTTTGAATCCTATTTTGCAGTATCAGGATCATGCATTTTTAACGATAATTTTTCATGTTAAAATTAAGTAAATGAACGAGTAACAGAACTTAATGTATTACAGAGCAGTGTAACAAATTGCAGAGATTTGTCATACCAGATATATGTGACCATCTCATTCAATATTAAGAGTTAGTTTTCTTCTGTGCTTTTAGAAAAAAGACAAACAATTTTTTTGGGGGTTAGCCAAGGATGTTTATAGGATTCTAAGAAAAAAAAATTATAGTAAAAATGCTAATAATTTTACATGAGAAATAATGGATATTTCTTTACAGGAGATAAATGAAGAATGGATTTCTGATAAAACTAGGTTTGCTTATGATGGACTGAAGTCTCAGCGGCTTGTAACTCCAATGTGCAAATCTGAGTCAGATTCTCTCGGTCCATGTGATTGGGAAGAAGCACTTATGAAAGTGGCAAAGCAGGTAAATAGCTTAGATCTAACTGTATAATATTTTATAGTAACCATATATATCCATCTTATTTTCTCTCTAAACCATCAAAAGTAAAATTTTGATCTTGGTGAATTACAAATATTGTTTAGAATTTTATACACTATGCGCTTTAGTTCATGGGAAATATTTTGGGATAGTTGAAGACATTCAGAAACTGTTGCTGTTATAAAAGATATGTTGATTATACCCATATATTTTGGAGAAATATTTTTTAAAGCCTTAGTCACGCAGTTTTACTCATCTGTTTCATTCTAAGCTTTAAAAAAAAAAAAAAAAAAAAAAAAAACCTTCATAATTGGAAGAGAGAAACATGCCACTACAGAATTTAAAATCAGTTAAAATAAGCAGTTCTAGATTGGCATAGATTTTTAATAAAATGTTGATTTCAAAAGTAGTCACACGTAGTTCCATTTTCTTAACCCTGAGTAGCCCGGGTTTTTGGATCTGCCATGAAGACCTGTATCTAAAGATCTTTCATTAGCTAAATTTGTATATTTACCAATTCCAGACTCTATTTTCATAAACTTACATTCATTAAGATGGCATTTATATTATTATTGAAAGAAAGCAAAATATTGTAAATTATAAGTTGATATGTACCAAGTAACAAAAGATCTCATGAACAGATAAAACCGGCCATGGCACTCAGAAGGTTAAGGCACAAACAGTTTTTGCTCCTAATATACAACCAAACTAAAGCAAATATTTATTGCAACATGATTATTTTTACTATTGATTTCATCAACTTATAAATTTAACTTATAGTGAAATTTATATTTACTTACATATTTTTGTCATTTTCTTTTGAGCTATGAATAGTCATTAAGCAACCAAGCTTAAATTGGAGCAACATATTTATTAATGTATTAAATATTAAATGATAAATAAAATATTGACTAGAATCTTTTCCACCCTTAAAATCCTCTTAACTTTTTATCACTAAGTAGGCAGTTTTCATATTTATGCTTACATTAGTATAAATTGATAATTAATTGCTATTTATTTACATTAGGGATTTGTAATGCTAGAATTATGCACGTAGATTAGATCTAGAATTATGAACGTACACAAGAAAAAAGGTTCCTTTTCATGGGTTAAAAAAAATGCATATTGAAATCAGGGCTGGAGTCAAAATCGGAATTAGGCAGATTTTGGGGCAAAAGGAGTCGGAGGTGGAGTTGCTAAAAACACGTCGACTCCAACTGCAGTTTTTGTTGGACAGTTTGAATTTGAAATGAAATTAATGTGAATTGAAAAAAGTAATGACAAACTGAGTTATTATTTTCATTTAAGGACTATGTACTTTAAATAGTTATTTTCTATTTTTTGACATATTAATAAATAAATATAAGGGATGAGGATGGATGTGATTGGTAAATATGGTATCTTTAATGATGAGTTGAATCCAGTAAGATGGAATGTACTTTTTACACCTAGTGCAAAGGTGCAGAGTTTCTGGAAGAGAAGTAAGTGCGGCACCATCTTTTGGTGAGAATTGTAGTAGAAAAGAAGAGCCATTTTTGGTCTAAAACCAAAAATGGAGTGCAAGCGGGGCTGAGGCCCGAACCCACGATATGAGGATCTGTAGTTTCAGAATTTGTGCCACTCGGCTTATTCATTAAACTGATTCATTTAGTTACAAATCTCATTGCTAAATTTAGGTAAGCAGCAGTAGCAGCAAGAACTCCCAAAACTGATGCCATTTTTAGGAAGAGAGCAGGAAAAGGAGCAATTGTTGATTGAGCACTGCAATGGGGAAGTACATATTTGACGATATAGAGATTGTTAGAATTAAGAACTGTTTAAAAGATGTATATAACCCTAATGTTTTACTAACAGAAAGACTGTGGAATGATCTTGGAAACTCTTCTTTCTACACCGTAGATAGCTACAAAAAAGGTACAATCTGAAGAATTAACAGGAGGTGAGAATGGAAGAATGTAATGATTGTTCTTTCTGAAAAAGAGGGTTTATTGCAGAAGGAATCATTTCTTCAATGAAGAATAGAGAAACTAGCTTGCTGGGTTCAATATATGTAGCTCCAAAACACCCAATTTTGTTAGATGATGAAGGATTAAAAAGGCAAAGAAAGCCATCTAGGAACTTTCATTGAGAATGTAATTATTCTGAGAACAAATGGAGTATTCAAATCAGGACAGTCAAATTGCAGACATTGCAACAGAGTCTCTATCATCCTTTTTCATTGATGAATTAGATTTTGAGAAATATTTGAATAATACTGAAAAGGCTAAGGCAAAGCAAATGAAAATAAAGAACCAAGAGCCTTTAGTATAAAATGAAAATACAAATTTCTACGGCCTTGAGAAAGAGAGAAATATGATCCTCTTGCAAGACGCTCTTTTAGAACTTATCACAATCTATCCTGAGAGTTAAAAGTACTCTAACACTAAAGCTCTTCTTCTACCCAGTCTGTGGAAGACTCTTCTCAGCTCTGATTTATCAAATCGATCTATGGTCCTCTACAAGACTGGTCGAACTATACTGCTTCTTAGAAATTCCTATGCAGTTTTTCCATTTCATAATAAATGCTAATTAATATAAATAATTTGCTATGCCATCAATTTTTTCTGTAGCATCTGTTACTTCTTTTATATTAAAAGAAATAAGTTGTAACCCATGTGTGTGTGTATATACATATATGAGGGAGGTGGAGTCGAATTTGGAGTCAGAGTCTTTAAAATTTCAGGAGTTTGAGTCAGTCATTTTACTTACCTACTCCACAGCCCTGATTGAAATCAATAGAGATTTTTCTAAATCTTTTCCAAACTAAAGATGCTTTTTTACTTAATTTTAAACTTACAGTGGCATCTCTCTCTTTCATTTGAATTTCTATCTGTTTTGTTTGAGTTATGGCTGATTAATAGGTTATCAAAATTCTTCAGATATTGAAGTTATATATATATCTTGTTTCTTTGAGTATGTATTATTTTAATTAAATAGACTATATAGTAGTATAAATTTTTAGGTTAAACATTAACCATTAAAAGTCCTTATCAATCAATGGGTTTTGTAGACAGTGTTAGATAGCGAAAGAAGCATTGTTTTGAAGCATCACGGTTTTCTATCACAAAGGTCACATGTTACAAGTTGACGAAATCTAGCAAGAGAAATGAATATGTTTCAGTGTGAATATAAATGCAAGTGAATATAAAATTTTTAATTTTTATCAGTAGAGGGCGTTATTATAAAACTATTTGCTGTTAATGCTATTAGCCTATATGGGACTGAATGTAGGATAACTAGCAATATTTTTTGTGTATTTCTCATAATGAAAAAGACAAAAGATTAAGGGTGTTATACCACAGAATTATTTCAGTTTGCATGAGCATTTTCTCAAAGATGTTATCAACTGATGGTTATCTGTTAAATTTTAGTTGAAATAAAACTGGGTATGGTATGCAATAACATTAGTTGGACCGTTTAAAAGACAGAATCTTTGAATTAAAGAAGAGATTAAGGAATCTAAAATTAAAATTTTTTTATCTTAATAGATGAATAAAGTGGCAGTGTTATTATCTTGATTATAAAGATATTCTGTATATATTTCAATTATTATAGTATAGGTTTGACTTATATCTTAATTTACATTTTTAACATGAAAATAAATTTTATTGCAGATTAGATCAGTTGCACCGAATGATATTGCTGCTGTGGTGGAGTCTTGTTGATGCAGAGGTAAGTTATATATTTGTTATGTTTTCCTTTTCTGAGACACCATTGTTGCTTATTTTCTTCGTTCACGTTCGTACGGTTCGTGATTTGGATGAAACGGCGACCTTGTGATAGCGAAACACACTTATTTAGTCAGTGTTATCGAACAGCTCCAATAACACTTTTGCATCGTCAGAGATCTACGATACATGTTGTAACAATCATGACACAGCTATCCCGTTATCAGGCTATCACGGTGGGACGCTTCCTGCCAAGCCCCGACCTGCTTTCCGATAAGCTCCGCGCTGCTTGGTCTTCTCCGAACTCCACTTACCTTCACCTACAACTCGCGATGCACTCGACCTCACACGAGCACATCTCCTGACGCTTCGGTCATGTCGTTCCGGAGCTCAACGCTCTCTCTCGACGATGCACTAACCCGATACATATAGACCTTTGATCACGCGACGACCCACTCGCACTCGCTGCCCGCTGTCACTCGATCGATTCGCAGGGATTGACTGCTAGACAGACACCACTCGATACTAACTACTCACCTCTAGACAGCACCACATCGCCCCCTCATGAAGCACACACCGACTCTCCACTACCAGCAGGTTTTTCTATGCTTTTGATTGGTTCAAGACTCTGGGCTAAATCGTAAAACGTTCCAGAAGGTTCTCCATCTGTCCGTGGTATATTGCCAATTTTGTCGCCAAATGGGCAATTTCTCACCAAATGTGGCAACCCTAAAACTGCTTTGTGGGGGAAGCTATCTTACTGCGCCTAGACATTTCGTAACATTATTATGCTTTCTAAAATTTTTGTTGAAAAGTATCTGGTATTGCACATTATAAATTGATTAGGAAAGTGGGAAATCTGCCATCAAAAGTGTTAAAAAAATACAGATCTACACTCTTTGTGCTGTAAATGCAAGTTATGGCTTAAATTTACATATTATTTACTGGGTTGGCCAGAAAGTAATTTCGGTTTGTTAGTATGCAATAACTCAATTCTTTCTATAAAAAAATGAACTTAAATCAGTCATATGTTTCCTTTCTGTTCAATTATCTTTTGCCATTTTTCTGGTAACTTCATGATTCCGTGGTCAATAAAGACCAGAAGTTCAGAGAGCAAAACGAATTAAATCAGTAAAATCTCAACCAAGTGGGATTTGTGGTCATTGTTATTGCCAAAATTTGCACCATGTAAGAAGTTTTGTAAACTCCAAAATAAATGATAAACCAATGGCGCAAGGTCAGGGCTATATGGGGGATGTGACATCTTTTCCCAAGCAAGCTCCGATAGTTTCAGTGTTGCTAAAGATGTCTGAGGCCTTACATTGTCATTGTGGAACATAATTCGTTTGCAGTTTGTCAGTTCTAGCCTTTTCTCTTTGGTTGCGTTCTCCAGTTTCGTAAGTTTTTTTTTTTTTGCAGTAAACTTTTAAGTTGATCATTTGCTTGCTTGGAAGCAGCTCAAAATATGCAATACCATTGTAATCCCAAGTGATTGACAGCATGATCTTTTTCTGATGCAGTTTAGCTTACAGTGTGATTTGTGCTGATTCATCGTGCTTGGACCATGATTTTCTTCAATTTAATGTTATTGTAAATGCTCCATTTTCATCAGCAGTGATAACTCGGTTCAAAAAAGGGTTGATAGCATTACGTTGGAAATGTATATCGCAAATGTTGATTTGTTCAGTTAAGTGAATTTTTTTCGGGTTATGCGGAAGCCAAATATCAAGCTTCTTAATGAATCCCTGTTATGTGATGATTTAAATTTTATCAACTTCAGAAGGTTGTCCTTTATAAAAAGATAAAAACCCCATGTTAAAATTGAGCGTAAACAAGCAGCTGCAAACAAAAACGAATATAATGCAATTTATTTGTGCAAACTGAAATTAATTTCTTGCTGACCCAATACAATGCAAGTTGATGTTTTCTTTTTGCAAACATTGAAAATGTCGCAGATGTTCACTCTGTTTTTAAACAGTCAGAATCCCACTTTCCCCTCAGTGCAGGATTTACCTATAAGCTACACAAGCTATAATTTAGGGCCTCCACTAAATTAAAATAAATATAGTATTAAAATATAGTATAACAGACTTATAAAGGGCTCCATATCTCAAAAAGCTTAGGGCTTTATCAAGTCTAAATCTGTCTTTGTTTCCCCTTGTTGCCATTTCTCAAAAATAAACTGTCTTGCACAGTTTCAAAATTCATTTAGAGATTATTAAAATTTATTGAATATTTAGCATGTTGCAGGGTCTTTTCTTTTCTTTTCTTTTCTTTTTTTTTTTTTCTAAACCTGTGAATGAAGTAGTTCTGAAATCTTTATTTTTTGATTAAAGTCTATTTTTTCAATAATGATGGGAATTATAATTTTAAGGTTATTTGTGGAATTTTTCATGAAAAACTCATTATATAATCTTTTGCTGTTTAAAGATTTTACATTGCCAAGTTATAATTAATTCTTTTTTTTTTAATGTAAGGATTAGCTTCCTCTATCTCTCTTTCTTTAATCAAAAGTTAGATACTATATGCCATTCAGTTTAATTTGAGATTTTTGTACTTTTTAATCCATAGCAGTGAACAAAGTAGTTTGAGGTAATTTTGTGATAAACATTTTTCCCTTTTCATACTTTAGAAGTATATTTTTGAATATAGTAAATCTAAAATTATAATAATAATTATAGTAAAAATAAAATGAATAATACTGTTTTCACGCTCACAGTACTAAAAGAGCTACTGTTGAGCTGATGAAACAGTATTATTCAATTTTTGGAGAGAATGGAGAAATAATGCATCAGTTTGAGTATGAATGGTCATCTGGGTTTCCATATTTTTAATCTTTTGAGGAGCAGGGTTGTCTAAAATCAAGTTATAAGATATCATTCAACATTAGTATTTAAGACAGTATTTCATGAGATTGTTAAAGGGATGTTGTTCGAAACATATTGCCCTTAATTATGACTGCTACAATCATTATTTAACATAAATATTTTGGGTTTTGTTGTAAACAAAGTTCTGTTTAGTGGATATAATTGTGATGCTAATATTTCTGTGGTAAAATTGCCTTAGAAACAATTTTTGTGCTACTTGGATTGTTAAATATTACAAATTTGCTAATGTAATTTGAAATTTTTTGCAGTGTTTTTAATGTTACATTTATAGAATTAAAAGCTTTGTTTTTTCATTTATTTGGAAAGGAAAATTGAATGAATACTGCAATTGCTGGAAAAAGGGTCTTCTTTTATTGTTTTATTATGTTTATATTATTGAACATTTTATTTTACTTTATATATTTAATTTTTAAATTTTTTATTTTTAGGCTTAGTGCTCTAAAAATTTCTAATCGCTTGTCGTGAAATCTCTACACTGAAGAAAGGTTTCCTGTTTAATGGATCTGGGTAAATATTTTATTACATAAATATAGAATTATTTTATTTATTTATAAAAATACGTAGCTTAAGTTTATTTTTCTCTTGAATTTCAAACTAAATTCAATAGAAGGTTCATTTCACGATCAGTGAATGCATAAAATTTCATTCTCATTCCATATTTATAATCTTATTTCTGTTTATAGTATTCTGTTTTTTATTTTGATATAAAATTATGCATGAAACTAATATAAAAGTATATAATTTATCAAGAAAATTTTCTTTTTGGTTGCGTATAAGCTTCCTGTGTGTTTAATTAAGTCTACATTAAAAAATACTTCTAAATATTAGTTATTAAATAAGAATTTTTTATTATTATTGTAAATAAAATTAATATGTTTCTATATGTACTTTAGTATTTGTTTGAAGATATTAAAAACATATTCTGTTTCATATGAGATTGATATACAGTCAAACGATGTTGATATATGTCATTCTGAGTATTGATTTAAAAAAATGCTCTGCAACTTTCATTTTCAAATTGCTTAGGATACAGACTGTATAGTGTGTGAAGGAATTCAGGCTAGGCATTGTATGTTATCTTGTTAAATAAAAGTGGAATAAAAGAAAATTGGAAACTAAATGGTTTTGCTATAAAAAAGATAGATAATAACGCAATAAATTGCTCATATCATGCGGTAAATGGAACTTCTCTCTCTAATAAAAATAAAGAAAATGGGCTAAGTTATATGAATGAGTAACTGTCAGATACATTGAGACTTTAGAAAAGGGAGCATTATATAATTAGCAAAGTGAGGTTATCTAGATAGCAAATGAAATAGATTTGAATGGACTAATCCGTTCCTAAACCCTATCATTATATCCTTAACATCTTGTAGATTATAACAGTTTCTAGTTCTAGTCTAGATGAACATCCTTTGTGTAGCTGGGGGACATCTTTTCTTTTCAGTGTGCTTATTTTCATTTCGACTTCAGATTTCCTGAAGCAAAGTGCTTGTTGAATTGTGTGTATGGCTTCTTGTCCTGGGCCATCAAAAATGCATGCAATTGATACAAATTTTAGACAGTGGGCTGTGTTGATGTTGGAAAAACTGGAAATGATTTTTCTGGTATCGAATTACTGATGTAGAAGTAGAAAATGTTGGTAAAGACAGCGATCAGGCAACAGAGTCACAATTAGAATCATCCAATTTGAATTCTGTGGCAGTGAAAAAGGATTTTATTGTTAAAATAGGTTTAAATGGTCTTCTGAGGAATCATAAAATGTGCAAGTTTTAAAGCATAATATAATTAAACTATCAAATTTGAAAAGTCAAATGCAGAAAGATAGTGATGTCAAACCTGTTTCATTTTGGGATATCATTTTTACTAAAGAAATGGTTAACACAGTAAAATGAACAAATGTTAAATTAAATAATAATAATAATAATATTGCAGTATGAAATCAAAAGAGAACTGACCTTATATATTGTAATGAACAAAAAAATAAGAGTATTTCGTTTCATACAAATAAGAGTAGTTCTGTTATATCATTTAAGTGTAATCATTTAAACATAAAATCTCTTGTTTTCTTCTGATTGTAGTGGTTGAGATATATACATTGAACTGCAGTGTTAATGAGAAGATCTGAAGTTCATTTATTATGAATATAGTTTGACTATCCAACTGGCAGGAAAACTTACAAGGTGTCTCATAAAGCTGCATTATTGTAGAATTTATTGACACACTTAAAAAAAATTTAAAGAATTCATTTACTTTAGAAATTTGCAGGACACTTGGGGGGGATTTTAGTCTGTTTTAGAGGAAAATGTAAATTAAAAATATATATGCACATGGAATCGGCAAAATATATGTTGAAATTATAGTGTCTAACAGACACCAAGAATAACTGTGTGTATAATGTATATTAAAATCTCTTGTAACTGGCACCCCATTAATTGGTATTATCAAAATAATGGCACTTTTGATCTTTTAAATACATGAATGTAGTGTCCATGATTTTCAGCAATAATTCACATTGAAAGCTGGTAGATTTACTTTGTATGTTGCTTGGAAAGATGTAAAGATCATTATATTATGTCTTTGGTGTAAATAAGGGCATATGACTATTTTGATAGAGGGAATTTGACTGAGATTCTGTTGGTTTTAAAACAGGTTTGGCACCTGTAGGTGACATCTTGGATTTAGTTACATGTTCAGAGAAGGTTACTATTTCTGAGGTGCAGATTTAGGTGGATGTAGAGAATTCTGTTTCTGTCACTTTGTCTCAAGATATTCAATGCTGTGCAGAGTGTCAGACCACATCTGACAACCATCTGTTGAATGACGGCTATCACTTTGAAAATTTGTAACCCTAGCTGTGTTGCAAGCTGTGCTTTGACAACTTCTGGCAAAACTAATGCACTGCCCGTCAGCGAAAAACATAACTATTCTGATAGTTTAATCTCTCATTATTAAAAAATCAGTCCAAAATATTTTTGGACTCTGTGAAATCCTCATCAGGCTGTTTATACTTTTCACGTTATAGAACTTTCTCTGCTATTGGTTCCTCTAGTAAGTTTTATTTATTTATTGAAAGTATAGGGTAAGTTTAGTTTCTATTCATTAATGCCATTTTAATCACATTTTTTTTTTCTTCCCAACTAATTATTTCCAATCTAAAAGTGATTGAATTAATATGCTGTAGGAACTGCAGGAAGTTTTAAGATACGATAGTATTTTAAAAGTGTTGCAAAAATGTTTTAGGGCAGGTGAGTTTATTGCAGCATAGAGTCCCTGGGACCAACCGTACTAGGGAAAATGCACTCACAATTTCAACAACAGGACTTACTAGTTAATTTCATATTCAAGTAAAATTTGTATATCATGAAAACTTATGTTTTATGCTTAAGAATACATAAATAAATTATTTTCTTTTTATTTAGCTGTGATCTGAGGAGTAATTACCTGTTGAACAGTAAAATTGCAGGAGTAGAAGAATCAGATTTAGTTGTATTGATTGGTACAAATCCAAGATATGAAGCACCTGTTTTTAATGCTCGTATTCGCAAAGCATGGATCCACAATAATTTAGAAGTAGCTCTTATAGGACCTAAACTTGATTTAACTTATGACTATGAAGTAAGTAATCTGAGGAATAATTTTTTTTTTTTTTATTGTAAACATGACAAATTTTACTTTTAATCATGTGCATTAGATCTATTTAGAATTTTTATGAGATTTTTATATGCATAACTGTAACTAAAAAGTGATTTATTAAAGTACATGTTTACCTAGTATTCATTTTATACACTACCTGACAGATAAAATACACCACCAGAAAAATTTGGTTGTATAGTTATGTAAACAATCTGAAATGTAAGTTTGTTATTTTATTAGCCAGTGAGATAAAAGGGAAGGAAACATCAGATGATTCAATTGTTAGTACTTTCTGTTGTCATGGAAAACCATTTTTACAAGCTGTTTTTCTTCTCAGAAGACACATGTGCTTAGCTGATGACAGTATCATCAGCTTCTGATTTGATTAAAGCCTGCTTCCAATGGTTAAAAAGAGAGAAGAATCAATAATGTTGGTCTGGTTACAACTTTAATTTTTGGAGGTTTTTCTGGGTAATTTAACTCCTTAACTGCTGTGGAAAACATAAAACATTCACTCCCCAGTGCCACCGTTTTTTACACATGCATATGTAGTTATGCGATGTATTTGGGGAAAATAACTGCAAGTTTTGCTGTCTAAAAACTGTTTACTTTCACAAAATAAAGAAAAAGAAAAATGGGTAAAAGTATATTTATGGGTACCTTTGGCGAAAATTCATCATTTTTGGTGGTACATGAATACTGAGTTTGTGCAATTCTTTGACTTGTTATTTTGGCTTGTGTAATGGCGATTTTACTGCCACTACACAAGCCAAAATAACAAGAGTTGCACAAATTCGGTATCCATGTGCACATAGACCTATTTTCACTTTAAAAAACCATCAGAGAATTGCCAAACTTGGCATTGCACACTCCCATGGCTTTATCCGTGTATACATCAACCTATTTTTCACTTAAAAAAACATCAGAGAATTGCATAGACTAGGCATTGCACACTCACTGATTTTGTCCATGTACTCATCAAACTATATTCACTTAAAAAGTCAAAGGAGCAGCCAACAAAAAATTATATAATCTCAATAAACTACATTTTAAATCAAGCAATGAAGTAACATAAAAAAGGACGTTTGTCTTTGCACTACACAAAGGAAATATCCACTTACCTTATTTACGAATTAACATGTCTTCAGTCAAACAAAATTTCTTAGCAGCATCCAAAAACTTCCTAAAAATTATCTGAACTAGAATCTGTATACTGGCATCACTACATAAATTCACAAAATAAGAGTAAAAAATATCCTCCATAGCGCCATTCCGACATTCGATCATACGCATTTTCTTCTTACAAACAGGATACTTACTGATGACTACTAAGTAAACCTTCATTTACACATCAGTCAAGTTATGTTCTTTTCTCCTTTGTACCTGAATTGTATAGAAACTTCAAATTAATTTTACCGTATTCAGCCATTTTACCGTCAAAACCACAAAACAAGCAATATACTTCCTAACCAACACACACACACAAGCCCTTACGAATTTACAGCAATCATGCAACCAATTACATCATAATAGGATTTCCATAACATTCAACTACTCAGGCTACCATAAATGAAACTACAACTTGGCAATAAATAAAACAATTTTGCGATAGTTCAAGTGATACCCTTCTCTCTACTCTAACCAAAAAATGAAAATGCAAAATTTAATGTTTAGAGTAAAAGTATAATGAAAAGAGATGTAAGTATAATAAAAATGATGTTAGTATAATAAAAAAGATTATAAAAGATCCTACAAAATGTAGTTTCAATCAATTTATTTTTATACCGGTAAAGTTTAATATCAGGTTTCAGTGTTACACCTTGTAAAATCAGTATACCTAGAAGAACATATATTTCTTTTGAATTGGTTGGATGCCACGATTTTGTTCTTGAATTTTCTTTTGCAGAATGTTAGTTTATATACTGGTCTGCAAAATGGTTAGTTTCAGGAACAAGTTCTCTGAAGCACAAGCAGTTCATCAAAAAGTAATTCAAAAAAGAATCATGACTGTTCGACATATTCGTAAAAAATGCATCTGCTACAAGCAATAAATGAAAATGGAAAACATAGAATAAAAAAATACATTTTATTCATCATTAGTCATAACTGTCAGACATATTCCCTAAAAAAGCACCTACTACAAACCGTAAACAAAAACCAAAGACACATAATAATAAAAAAAATTAGGCAAACAGAAGCAGTCATAACTTTCAGGGTTTCAGAAACATTCCCCTCTCTACCCCCCTCCATCTTTCTTTTTTGAAATAGTATCCTCCTTCGCATACTCTGTCAAGGTCATTGTAGTGTTGCATTCCAAAGTTTTGCGAATAATTTTACTGGTAGCAGTGCAAAACAAATGATAGTATTTCAGAAGGGTGTATATATGTATATATGCCTGGGGCAGTTAAGGCATCTGCTGAGCAAGGTGTATACATACATTCACCCTCACCGCAGTTAAGGGGTTAAAGTCCAAAAATTAGCATACAAATGTTTTTTGAATAAGACTTGATTATTTGTATGATAAAGCCTTATATTAATAAAAAATATTAGTTTTATTAATATATTTTTCTAATTAAGGGCATCTTGATTATGCCAGTCCAGTAATGGTGTCTATTCAGCTATCGACCCCATGATTGCTGTAGACCCCATTGAAAATGTAAACATTCCTCAGAGGTCCATAGTGACCACATTGAGAACCCCTGTACTAGAAGAAATAATTCTCAAGTGTTTCGCCATACTAAATTACCTATCTCTTAGCCATTGCTTTGCTTTCTCAGTTCTAGTTTGTATGAAATATGATTCAATGAAATTTTTTAATCAAAAATGAATGTTATGATGGTCATTTACCTAGTATATTAGAAGGTAAATCGCCCAGATGGTACAGTGGTTAGGGGAGCCTACTACGGTTAGGGAAGTCTACTAAGGTTTGTACCCTGGGTAAGGCATGGATGTTTGTAAATGTATAGTGTCGGTGTAGCATGACAGCACTCTAAATATGCGGCGAGCCGAAAATCCTGTCGTGTGGATTGGTGGGAGACCCCCGAATCCATCTCCCCCCGGTGTGCTCTCTCTCAAAATTGGGGGTGGAAAATAGAAGTCCTACCTCTCTTCAGAGTAGGGTCTGGCAACTATTGTTCCATGTAATATGGACAAGACAACAACATTAGAAGGTAAAGACATGAATTTTCAAAACAGAAACAAAAAAATTAATATTTACAGTTAATGCTAATGCTAAAATATGGTAAAGATGTAATTTAGATATATGCATTTAAAGGAGTAATTATTCAGAAGTGTGCTAACCGTATTGCTGAGTAATTGTGATTTGTTAGAAAACTGAAATTCTATAAGAAACCAACTGTAGTGTAATCAAATAAAGAAACTATTCAGTAAAAAAATACTTAGCAAAAGCTCTTTAAAATGACCATTCATGGTTCTAGATGATATTTAGGTCTTCTTAGAGAGATAATGTTCAGAACTCATGTTTGCTTATATTCTCAAGAATACTGAGAACTATCAAAGGTTACTATCAAGAATACTGTTACTATCAAGTTACTGAGAACTAACTATCAAGAATACTGAGGTCATATCACGGCGGTTGCTAGTAGAAGATTCATCACAGTGGTATGAGGTCCAGTATGTAATAAAACTGTTTTTATTTTTTATTTATTTATTCTTTTATGTTTTACTGCAAGATATTATATAGAAGGTCAAATTGATATATCATGAAATTGGCGATGAAAGACAAGTTGTTCCACTAAATTGTGTCTTGCTTCTATCTTGTATAATATAATGAGACAATTAAGCCTGAATTGTATTAGTTTAGTTATTTGCTATACCTACATATATTCTTGCACATGCGCAAAGCTAATCTGAGTCTTGAATAAACTCCCACATATACTTAAGGGTTATCAAGGGCCACTGCTTATACTGCCTGATGCAGTCTGCACGTTCTAAATTCTGCTACAAAGCACCTCCCTAAGTTCTAAATTTTTTCCGCCCCTAAACTTTGGATCCCAGTACTTTCCCTAAATTATAAAAATTTTGTCTTCCCTTAATTTTGCCGCTTTGTACTTCTCTAAATTCCAAAAATCTTTTCTTCCCTAAATTCTGCCAGCTGGTGTGGCGGTATGAGCTCTGATGTCGGTTCTGGTTTTATGTGAATAACATATCAGTTATTCTTAATTCAATAGCATTAAATGCAATCTTTTGGCCTATGAGTTTCATTAACAAAATCTATTTTTAGCATATGAAAAGAAATTTTTGTTAAATTTTTTCTCGTCAGATTTCTTGATGCATTTAACTTCAATCTATAACTATCACCAAGCATAATGTCAGCATAAAATTTTGCCACTCTCTTTGTTATTCAATTACTAATATATAAAAAAAAATTAAGACATCGCTTAATGAATCATTACACAACATGCGATGATGAAATCAAAATATTAAAAAAAAATCTGAAAGGTTTCAGATTTTAAATTACGTTCAAAGGGGCATTTTTTTAACGTTCTGTGTGTTACCTTTATTTATTAAATATCATGTTCTTTGCACTTAAACCATAAAATCCAGTTCAACAGCATTGTCGCAAAATAATTTTAAAATGAGCATATCTTTAGAACTTCCGATACACTGTGCCGCCAGCTGGAGATGAAAAGGTTTTTCCCCCTATAGAGTGTCGCCATTGCTCGCTTTTAAATCTTTGAGTTTGTTAATAAAAAATTCGTTTTTTCAAAAAAGTTTTACAAAATAGGAAATCGATAATAAAACAAATTTTAAATTTGGGCTTTCAGATGCCCGTATTCGCAGTAGGATTACGTCGTGCAAAATTAGATGGCTTTAGGTACTGTTGTTTTATTACAATGTGAGAAACATATATACATTTATGCAGATTCTTCATTATTTTCTTCAACTATAATACAGGGCGATAGTATTTGGTGGCACGATTTGAAAAGTGATACAGCCTTTTAAAGTTTTCAATGCAAAATGAAAGCAATAGTCCTTCAGGCCCCTTTGGACTAATAATGATTCACCAAATTGATGTTGGGGATATAAAATACTAGTAGGTGTAAAATCAATGATGTTTCTATGTAGAATGTTTTGGTTTATTATTGATCTTGCAAATTTATGCTAAATTGATTGTTTCTTCAGTAATGAGGTATTTTATTTAGTGCCTAATAATGAGGTATTATTAGTATTTTTAGTACGTAAGTGAAATTAAGAATTGAGCCTCTCCACATTATTATGTGAGGAAAAAATCAAATGCACATGCATAAAGCATACAAAAAAAAAAAAAAAAAAAAAAAAAAAAAAGTGAGTTTGTGACTTTGAAGTCCAGATTTTAGATCATTCTGGATATTGGACGTCTGGATCTCGGACTTTGTACTGTAATATATTGGAACCAAAACACTATCTTATATTTCTCTTTCTGGTTTGCATACAGGACAGAGCAATGGAATCATTGTCAATTCTTTTTTAAATACTCATTTATGTGCTATTTATTTCTGTGTTTTTATTAAACTAAATGAATGAATCGTTGTAGCATTTAATGGAAAGAAAATTTAGTACGCTATATCAACTATATAATCACACAATCAACACAATTAGTAGGTATCTTGATCAAGTAATGATTTAGATCCAGTGAGTTTGAAAAAGGCTTCTGGTAGCAATATTGTCATTTAAATATATGTACCAACTTAGGGAAGTCTAGCTATGTGTCATTGGGCAGATGAGATTATAACTTATCATGTTATGTTATCATTTTAAAAAATATCCTATATTAATAGACAATAATGTTCAGTTTTAACATAAAATGTTTATTAGGGATTATCTAATTTCACATGCTTAAATTGAAATGCATGCTTGCCTGATTTCAATTCTCTAATTATGCTTGAAAATGTTATTAAAATTATTACTTTTTGTTATTCGCCATAAAAAGTACTATTTAGTAGTATTTTGATCAATGTGCATTACTTTTTAAGCAAAAACTCTGTATTTTTGTTACTTCTCATGCCATCAGTGGAGTCATTTTTATGCTTCTTTCAATTTTATTTCTATGAGTTTTACTATACTGGAGAACAAAACTTTTATCTATATACCCTCACTTTTAGTTTAAATGAGCAGAACATAATAGCATATAATAAATGTGATTCTTATATTCATATTTGTGATTTATTTCGTAATTCATATTTAGTTTTTTTTTTCTCTTTTATATATTTTAATTCACACTATTAAGATTTTCATAACTTTTTGCCTGTCATTATGTAGTGATTGATGAAAGTCACTTATTTTTCAAATTTAAAATTACCTGTTCTTCTTGACTAATTACACATAAATTCTCACTTGCAACCTTGTGATGAAATGTTACACTTACAGTTTCCTTTTACTTAATGTGAGTTATCTTCTGACTAAGTTTCACTGAATAATTTGCTTATATGATTACACTAATTGGTGCAGTTTCTGCTGAGGCATAGCAATAGTTTATGTTACTGATGTTTGTAATTACAAATATGAATAAAATAATTGTTAATAACTTTAAAATGTTATTTGATTTTGCAAAGGATATTTTAAAGTATTGTATAACATTTCTTTATTACAGCATATTGGAGACTCTCCTAACTTACTGAAAGATTTAGCTTCTGGAAAGCATCCATTCGCTAAAGTATGATTTTCTATATTACTTTCTGTTTCCTTTCTTAGGTTTTTATAAGTTAAAGATATTCTGTATAGTTGCTGAAGAATGCATTTTTAATTATTTCAACAAATTACATCCCCCCCCCCCCGCACCCATTTTAATTATAACCAATCATGTTTGTATAATTTTGATTAACAGAGGCTGGTGATTGTGAGTTGTCACGAAATAGTCTTTTTAACTAGCCATTCAAGTTTCATATGTTAAAATCATGTCTGTACATTTTAAATATAACTGTTAATCAAATAGGAAGAGAAACGTGTGCTTGATTGTCTTCAAAATCAATACGATTTTATTTCAAACCTATGCCAAAAGTAAGGTTGCTCTTTTGTCTAATTTTAAGATAAATTTTGATGTTTTACTGAAAAATTTGTCAGTATTATTATTTATATTTTGTAAATTATCATGCAAAATTTAAAACTAAGTTACTTTTCTAAAATAGTGAAGTTATTAATTATTTCTCAAAATTTCCTGCCACTACAACATTGTAATCTAATAGTATGGAGTTTGAATTGCCCAACTATAAGAGTAGAATTGTAGCTGCTCAATTTTAAATATTTAATATTTTAATAAGCTCATACTGAATGTTTTCCTCAGAAAATATGTATTGGATAATTTTGTTTAGAAAGAAAAGTTAATATATATTTCTGTTAACTGAAATTTTTTTAATGAAACTAAAATTATTTTTTGCTTTTTCCCTCAATAAATAAGATATTGTAAAACTATGGAACACTCCAAATCTGCTTTGTCTAATCATTAAATATGCCAAGAAGTTTGCACTTTTGTTAGGTTTTTGATTTATTTATTCACTGCATTAAGTAACCACAGCTTTGTTTTTATGAGTTGTTAAAAATTTACCTGAAGGGAAATTTTGACTTATTTTCCAAATGCAGTTTGTATTTTTATTCAAATGAATCTAATCTACTTAAAATTTTATGTTGTTATTCCATATTTTAAAATATTTAATATATTTTATCATTTTTCTTGTAATATGAAATGCAAATATTAAGTAATATTTCCTTGTTGTGCCTGATAGGAAAAGAGACAGAATTTAACTAGATTTAAAGTAAGCATGTAGGCATATGGCATCAATATTCTTTTAGAACCTATATGCTTTCATGTCACATCAACTCATCCAAAACTACTTTAATCACTTGCAATAATGTCTTGTTAACATTTATAAAAATGAATGTTTTAATCTTTATTCTGTTCCACTATTCCATATGAAAGTAAATATTATCTTTAATGCATGCTTTAATTTCAGGCTTTGTTAAACAAGTTTATACATATATGCATCAAAAATGGAAGATATTTTTAAGCATAATTTTCCCAAAGTCTAATTCAAATTTCTGCCCTTATTCCCTTTGGATTTTTTTAATGAAGTTTGACTATGTTTTATAGTACATGCCCAAAGATGAATTTATAACAGTTTTTTATAACAGTTCGATGACTATAAACGAGATTTTGGAGTTGTCCTGATTAAATACCGGCCAATAAAGTATGTTTCGATACTTCATCAAGTGTTGTCGTTATTCACTCCAAATCCACACAAACCCCATATGAGCATGAAGGAAGAAAATAATGTAACAACTGATGTCAGAAAAAGAAAAATGCAACAATATGTATGCACATGTGTGCATATATATATGCATATATGTGTGTATGTATACACACACATATATGCATGCATACATGAGCACATACCTCCACACATGCATACATACATTTCTGAATATGGTGAGATGATAACAGTACCAATAAATGTCCTGAGGATCTTAGTTATTGTATTAAAAGTAGTTGAGGCATATAATTATACTTGTGTGTATCAAGTTTTCAACTAAACTGGGGAAAAAAAAAAAAAAAAAAAAAAAAAAAAAAACTTAATATACACAGTGCCTCAACTATTTTTTAATAAAAAGCTAAGACTTTTGAGGCATTTATTGTTTATTGATAGATAAAAAGATGCTGTTAATATACTATATAGGATGGTCATAAAAAATTTCCCAAATTTACGAACCCCGAGCAGCTTATCTGTTCAACCAATCGAAATGAAATTTTAAATATTATTATTTGAAAGTATGCATTCATGCACTCAAGATTGCAATGATTTAAAACAATAGAGCTCTGATGGTTACAGTCACAATGTAAGAATTTCAAAATTTTTGAATGGTAACATCCACTTTTTCCTGCACAAATCAATTAGTGCATTCAAAAACCGTAAATGGTGTTGGAGTGACGTATGTCTGACAAAAATTGCCACTGTAAAGCATTTGCAAAGAAGAACGTTGTAAAAGGCTAATGACGACACATGAGATGGAAAAGTACTTTTGTTGGAATTACAAGATTTCATTGTGCTCACCTTCGTAAACGATAAACTCGTTCCATGCAAGAGATTATTGATAACAATTACGAATGTAACATAACAGGAGGAATCTGTATAACTTCACGTTTTGTGGCATCTTTTAATTATAAATATAAGGGTTGCATTAAGTATTTGATTGAAAACACTGGTATGCTGAATTGGTTTTAAACTTATCCTGTTTTGAATAATTAACTTACATCTTAGTTTTAGAAAGTTTCATAAGAATACTTCATGGTATATAGTTCATGGAAAATTTTTCTTCAACAGAAATTAGCTTCTGCTTATAATCCAATAATAATTCTTGGGAGCAGTGCTTTGCAAAGACCAGATGGAGCTGCTCTGTATGCACTTGTGCAAAAAATTGCTTTGCAGTATCAGAAGTCAGAAGATAAGAAAGTTTTGAACATTTTACATCGGGTGAGTTGTCTTAACAGTCCTTTTTTGTATCAGAGTACATAATTATATTGTAACTGAATTTTTCACATCCTTTATGATGAATTAAGTGTTTGTTTTAAAATTTTATAAAGATTTAATATTTTAAAATTTTATAAAGAACTGCTTTATTGGTATATGTTTTGCATTGTTCCTCAACAGTCTTTCAGTTGTATATTCAAGTTCGTAAAATTATTGGTAGATTTTCTGATCTCCGCCTTTCAGTTCAAGAGTTCTTATAGTTTACAATGCTTTTGTCAAGTTAGCTGAAGTTGGCATGTAGTTACGGAAGTATCACTTTCACTGTCAGTGTTTCAGTTTCTGCAGCTCTTTTAATATTTTCCCTAATACTGTAATCAGTGTTTTCACATGCTATTCCAAAAGTTAATCTTCATAATATCCTTCTCTGATGTGCAATGTATTAGAAAATAGCTTGCAATTCTGTGTCTTGTCCTAAATAAAAACCACATTTTTTAAAGCTTCTGTGTTTCGGGAGACTTGTTTCTCATGTATTGCTTATAATATGCAAAGCTTATAGCAAAGATATCGACTTAGTTATCTCCTTCAAAGTGCTTACATTTCCAAAATAATAAGTTTTGTGTATGTTTTTTTAATGACACCTTTTCTGTAATTACATTTAAAAACTTTTATAATACTTTAGTCTAATGGCTAAATAACAGAAGTCGCATTTGCAGGAAGAGGAACTAGTTTAATGTTTTTCAGAATGATATCAGTGGGCTGGGCAGCACAGCTATCTAATAGTAAAGCTATTTTTATTTTTATTTTTATTTTTATTTTTTATTTTTGAATTCTTTGTCCCATTTCAAAAGAAAATCAGTAAAAATACTGCTTATGGTCCATGAGTTTTTGTTATCGTGGTAAGTTAAATTCTTGACTTATAACATCTAATTTTTCTACTCTTTTCAATACCCACTTGCATCTTTTTAATTGTTGCATCTATCTTGCATATAAATAACACAGTAACTCATTCTTTTAATTTTTTAAAAGCTGCATTTCACATTTAAGCATAAATATATACTCTGATAATGCTGTGTAAAACAGATCAGTTTCATCTATATTATAAATTTCATGTGGCTTGTATTCTTTTAGAAGCCTGGGTAAAGTGCCTTTTATCTATTTTTCCACTGAATGATGATCCACCTCTTTCTTCTCACCATGTAGTTTCTGATAAACAGTATTATTTCTCTTTTTTTAACTTGTGAACCATCCATCATTTGGCACAAAATTTTCTCGTATTATTTTCGCTAATTCTACAGCTTTTTTGGTCAAAAGAGCTTTAGAAATTGGAACATTTTTTAGTCTCATTGCTTGAAATCGTTCTAGAAGAGCAACTTTAATGTCTCTCAGTTTTTGTGCGTTCAGGAGACATTTGTGTTTTTTATAATTCTTCATCAATTTTATTTCTTTGTTTAATTAAATTGTAGAGTGCTGTTGAAAAAGCTGCTTCTCTTTGGCTGTATTTTTTGCATCTAATGGTTCTGTGAGACTAAAGGTGCATCCAAGAGATAATAAGAGGTTTTGTTAACAATAACAACATTTATTTACAAGAAAATATACGAAAATTTCAATCAATTAGATATATTATTAGGCATCTCTGCCTTCCATGTCTTACACCTTTAGTATCCTGCCTGCCACTGACTATTAGGACGAACGCAGCGCCCTCTAGTCAGAATGACGCTGGAAATACGTAATACTCCCCACCTGAACTCACTTGAGTTCACTTACCATTGAATTTCAACTAAACTTACATTCAGGAACCATTTAAAATTACAAGAATAAAAATATAAATAGCATATTATATCAAATACAAAGCTTCAAAATTATTCAGTGACTTGACATACAAAAACCAATTACACTTTTAACTTCCAAAGAAAATTGTTCAAATATCAAGCAATAAAATATAAGCACAATTAAACAATTATTAATACACAGATAGAACATTAACAGGTTGCAACTCAATTAAACTAACACAATTAAGGATTAATTTCCAAATTATACACAAGTTGTACTGAGCGTTTTATTTGTCCTTTAGGAGTCTGAATAAGAAGAGAACGAACTTTTCCATCTCTTCCTGGATATAGCTCTAAAATTTTTCCCATCATCCACATATTTCTGGGATAACGCTCATCATTAATCAAAACAATATCATTCACTTTAAATGAAACTATTTTACCTGGTTGTGGAGAAATATAAGCTGATCTTAGATTAAGTAAATATTCCTTTCTCCACCTGTTCCAGAAGTGATTCAAAAGTGTTTGCTGATATTTATATTTCTTTACCAAAGAATTCCTATTAACATTTAAATTTTCATTTTTATGTTTTATTACAGGTAAAGACACCAATCTTTTACCAATAAGAAAATGAGATGGGGTGAGTGGAGAGGGTTCTGAGGGTTCGTTGTACAGATACGTGATAGGCCTGGAATTAACCAGAGCTTCAATTTCCGAAAAAAACAGTTTCCAATTCCTTCAAAGAGAGAGAGGATCGTCCAACAATTTTCTTTAAGCAGGTTTTAACCGTCCGTATCTGTCTCTCCCAGAAACCTCCCCACCATGGACTTTTTCAACTATAAAATTCCAAACTATACCTTTAGAAGCAAACAAATTTTTAACTTGATCATTATCTATCTGATTCCACCATTTTTTCAATTCACTATTTGCTTTTTTAAAAGCTTTGGCGTTATCAGAATATATAGTGGAACATAATCCTCGACGAGAAACAAATCGTCGAAATCCTAACAAAAAAGAATCAGCACTTATGTTAAGAACTACTTCTAAGTGGATAGCTCTTGTCACTGCACAGCTGAATATAAGTAAATAACACTTTGAATTAAAATCACGAACAAAAAATGGTCCGGCAAAATCCACACCGCATACATCAAATGGTGGATGCTCTTGAATTCTATCAGGCGGTAAAGGGGCAACCACCTGCATTCCAGATTTCACTTTGAATCGTCTACAAATCAGACAGTTATTTAACACTTTTTTCACAAATTGACGACCGTTAACAATCCAGAATTGTTCTCGTAAATGTGTTAAAGTTGCATCAACACCTAAATGGCACATTTTAGTATGAGAATCACAGATAAGTAGTTCAACAAATTTATCATTAGATGGAAGAAGCCAAGGATGTTTAGCTCGCATATCGTTACATGAAAACTGTAAACGTCCCTTTAAACAAAGTAAGTTATTATCATCAAGTTCAGGATTCAAATTAAATATGCGTGAACTCTTATCGATAGTTCCTTTAGAAAGAAGTTGGGTAACTTCTGTACTATAATGCTTTGAATTGAGTAGCTTTGATCCAAAAACGCAAAGCTTGCTCGAGTTCTGGAGCACATATAGGTCCATTTAATTTTGTAGAATTAGGTTTAGAATTGTGCACAAACCTTTTAATCCAAGCAGTAACACGCAGTAATCTACTTAATTCGCTGAAGTCATTAACGTCCAGTAACGACGACATAGGTAAGTTTCCATTAGCTGAACTGGTTACCATGGAATTAACCAGTGCAGTCCGTCGCTCTTTCACTATAACGCGTTCATCACAGATGTCATTAAAATGATTGTAGCGATTCTTGAAGAGGCCACGAGTAAAGTGGTTTAGACAACCAAACAGGGCCTGACCACCACAGAGAACTTGTAAGAAATCTCCTAGCTGATTCTCCTCTAGTAGTAAGGTCTGCGGGATTGTCGGAGCCACTGCAATGGTTCCAACACTCTGGTAGAGTCAGCGACTGCACTTGAGCTACTCTGTTGGCGACAAATGGTTTCCATTGTTTAGAAGATCCTTTCAACCAATGAAGGACGATTTGAGAGTCGCTCCAAAAGAAAATTTGTTTCGCGAAATTAGGAAATAGACCTTGTAAATAATTTCCTAAACGTGCAGCGAGGAGAGCTGCCATTAACTCTAATCTTGCAAGAGTCAAAGTTTTTAAAGGAGCAACTTTACTTTTTGACATTATAAAGCTCACTTTGATTTGGCCATTGTAATTCACGTACCTTAGGAACGCAACAGCCCCATATGCCTTGGGACTGGCGTCACAAAACACATGAAGAGAAACTTCACTTATTTCTACACTTTCAAAAAACCTTCTTTCAATAGATACTGATTCAAGTTCACAAAGTTCAGAACACCAGGTTCTCCATTTATTTTGTAGGTCACTTGGCAAATCTTCATCCCATTGTAGACCACGTTCCCACATCTCTTGCAGAAGAATTTTCACAGTGATTACAAAGGGACTAATCAGTCCACATGGATCAAATATCTTTGAAATAACTCTCAAAACGTGACGCTTGGTGATTCTAGCATCAATGGAATCCCTAACATCTCTTAAATCTAATTTAATTTTATCCTCAATCGGATCCCACTTCAATCCCAAGAAACCTGTTCCTTGCCCGAAGTCAGTATTTTCCTCATATCCGTTTTCATTCCAAAGTTTATACAATTCCGGACAATTAGTTTTTAATTTCCTCAAATGAAATCCCGCTGCTTTTAATATCTCTATTGCCGTAGACGTCAAATAATAAGCATCTTGAACGGTATTGGCTCCATAGCAGAGATCATCAACATAAAGAAAAGAATTTAACATGTCATAACATTTTGGATGATGTTCCTTAAATTTCTTTAATGTGAAATTTCAAAACGCAAGCCAAGGAAAATGGCGAAGTAGTTAAACCGAATGGGAAGACGATTTAAATGAAGAGTTTCGGTTGAATCACCTACCTCTTCGGGAAACCACAAAAATTTAAGGTATTTTCTATCTTCCTCCGCAATCTCTATCATAAGAAAAGCTTTCTCTAAATCTCCGCAAAATGCAACTTGATATTCTCGAAATTTAAGAATTATGTCCAATAAATTTGCATAAAGATTTACTCCTGATTCTAGAGACTCATTAAGAGATTTATTATTTTCATTAGCTTTACTGCTACAGTCATAAACAATTCTAACTCGAGTTGTTTCCTTGT